TTATATATTTTCAATCCTTTTTGAATCTTTATTTTGTAAAAAAAATGTTAAATTCAATATATTAATTTTTTAAGTATTTTTTATAATATATATAATACCCTCTCAGTCTCATATAAGTGTGATGTTTAAAAAAACTAAGCTAATGTAATATTAATTAATTATTTTTTTTTTAATTTATACCCTTCATAATATTGTTTAGAAAGTGATTTATATGGTATTGCTTATAATAAAAAAGACTAATCACAAGATTTTTTTGTTTTTGTAAAATAATTTAAGACGACGTTTATTATGAAACAAAAAGGTATTAATTATAGTTAAGTTAATTAGTAAAAAAAATAATGAGTGATGACTGATTCAAACCCATATTAAACTATATTTAAAAAGAAAAAAGTCAAAATTTTGACGAGATATGAATGGTTAAATAATTGTATAATTACTTATATAAAGAGATATTTTTGAAAGTGTTGAAATTGATATAAAATCTCAAAGAAAGCAATTTGATGTATATTTATAATTAAAAATATATGAAATTATATGTCTAATGCAATAAATTTTTGCATGTGTATTATCTCTACTATCAAAAATTTAGATCTATCATCCCCATGGTATTGACATTAAAAAAGTTAGGGGACGTTTGATAGGAAAAAAGTTTTTTATTCCCAAGAATCATGATTCTCAAATATTACAAATTCTAGAAATCATAGATTCTTGAGATTAACTAAAATATACTTAATTACTCATAAAAGTTCTTAAAAATATTCATATACGATTTTCGGAAATTAAAATTTTCATGTTTGATTATAATAGTATATTTTTAGGCATATAAATATTTTTTACAAAAATATCCTTTATTAAAATAAATTCATTAGATATATTAATATACTCAAATCTTATTACAAATATGACATTAAACTATTTTAAGAAGTTGAAAACTAATAGTTAAAATTATTTAAATACATAATTCAATAAAATAAATAAACAAAGAAAAATGATACATAATAATTAAGAAGAATAAAAATTATATTATTTCATTTTATTTTAAAAAAATAAATAAGTGTTAACAAATACTATTAAACTGAAGAAACAAAATAAACTTTAAGAATATTAATAAAATTGACAATGTCAAAAAATAATAAAATACAAGAAAGAGAGAGAAATGGAGATAGAGGGACAGAGAAGGGAGTGAGAGGGAGAGAGATTGAGAAAGGGAGAAAGAAAAACAAAGGGAGAGAAAGAAGAAGAGGGAAAGGGAGAGGGAGAGAGGGGGAGTGAGAGTGAAAGGGAGGGAGAAAGAGACACAAAAGGGGAGAGAAAGAGAGAGAGAGAGAGAGAAAAAAAAAAAAGAAAGAGGGAGAGAGAGAAAGAGGAAAAGAGGGGGAGCAAGAGTGAGGTAGAGAGATAGAGAGAAAAATAGAAATAGAAGGAGAGATAAAGAGATAAATTCTCTGTTTTAAAAAAGGGGATACTATGATTATGTTATATATATATATATATATATATATATATATTAAACTTTCTTCCTAACTCAGAAAAATTAGATTCCTAACATGATTCAAAATTTTTTATGGAAAAATAGGATAAAAATGATTTTCGAGAAACTATATTCCTAATATTTTTATTATTAAAATAGCTAACAAATATATGGAAAATAAAATTTTTTTATTTAAGATTATCAAAAAAGTAAAACATTCTATATACTAGACACCCACTAATAAAATAAGTGATCAGAATTTGAAATTTTTAGAATTTAAATTACTTTAATTTCAATTTTCATCATTTTTTAAACATCTAGTTCAAATAAGTCTATTTAATTTTTTTTAATTTTAAATTCTTAACTTAGATAAGACAATTTAATTTTTATCATGGACAATTAATCTTAAACACTCACAAACACATATATACATATATATGTGTGTGTTTTGAAACTTTAAGATTTAGGGGGGTGTATTGGATTAGGATTTTAAAGGACTTTTTTAGTTGAAAAAAGTCCCGTAGATTTTAAAAGACTTTGCAAGATTTTCATGACATTTAAGATTCCGCAGGATTCTACAAGACTTTCAATCGGGATTTTAATGGATTATGCAAGAATTTTAAGTTAGGATTTGAATGGATTCTGCGGGACTTTGTGAACTTTGCAGAATTTCATAAATTTTTTATATAAGATAAGAATTCAAGATTTTTTTCATACATTCAAATTTAAAAAGATTCAAATATAAAAATAATAATAATATCTGGATAAATAATAATAATAATTTTTCATAATATCATGTCGTTCTAAATAGAATTCACTCACATATTCATAGCTATATTAGTCTTCCAAACATTAGTATCTTTTTACTCTTGCTCCTGTGTTTTAACAATAGGCTCAAAATTATGATTTTCATTAACCAATAATGTTGAAGATGAAGGTTCGTTCATCACTTCAATTGGAAATTCATCATAATGACATTCTTTACGAAAAAAGTTATGTAGTCCCACACATGCTAAAAATTATTCTAAACAACATTTCAAATTTTTTATAATTTGTGATTTAAAATATTCTATTTATAATTTTATAAATGATTAAAAAAAATAGTGGGACAACTACCCTACTCTCTTATAACTAAATATGTCCCTTCATTTTATATCGGTACTAAAGTAGAAATTTACAAACATCAATTGGGAGAAAAAAAATATATCTGAAATTTGTTATAAGTACAAAATAATTTTTAAAATTTTTAATTGCTTTCAATTATTCACTCGTGAAGAAATATTTTTAGTATTAAATTATAAGATACTGCAATGTCTTATGTTAATTTTCTTTTTTAAAATATAAAAATCCTAATTTCATAATATAAAAATTTTAAAAAAATTTCATAGTAAAAAAAAGAAATAAAATAATTGTTGAGTCATAAAAGGGGAAGGATAACAATAACAAATTCAAGAAAGAGAGAGATCGCAGTTTTTGTCCTGAGAAGGTTCTTCTCCCAACTAAGATTCATTCTTATATCATTCTACTTACAGAAATCCTAACTCAAATTCATCTTTTACACACACACACACACATACACACACACACACACACACACACACATATATATATATATTGTTCTAATAAATCTAAATTGATTATAAGGTCTTGAAGATCTATAGTTGATTATAGAGATCATGATATCAATTTTAGCTTTTACCTTTCCCTTTTCTTGATGCGTGGTATAAAAAAAGTTCTACTTAAATGTTAAAATTTCAAGTTTTTTTTGTGTTATATAACTGAGGAACAATCTCAATTAATAGAGCAAAATAGAGCAAGTCAATTAAAGAGAACGGAAAGAAAAATAGAGCAAGTTAATGACACTATCATTTACGTATAAAAGTTTTACCAAATATGGGAATGAAATGAGAATAGTAGTACAATATTATATATAAATAGTAGTGCAATATTATTAACAAGAGAAAAAAAATG